TACCGCTGCGCGCGGGGCGCGGCGGAGGCGCCGCGGGCTCAGAGGCGGCTGAGGGCGCTGTGGGAGAGAGTGTGCGCGAGTGTGCGCGAGTGTGTGCGCGCACTAATTAGCCGTGGGAGTGTGTGCGTGTGTGAGTGTGGGATGTGTGTGCTAATTAGCTGTGAGAGTGAGTGTGAGCGCTAATTAGCTGTGGGGAGTGTGTTTGAGCGTGCCAATTAGCTGTGGGGAGTGTGTTTGAGTGTGCTAATTAGCTGTGGGGAGTGTGTTTGAGCGTGCTAATTAGCTGTGGGAGTGTGTTTGAGCGTGCTAATTAGCTGTGAGAGTGAGTGTGAGTGTGCTAATCAGCTGTGGGAGTGAGTGTGAGTGTGCTAATCAGCTGTGGGAGTGAGTGTGAGTGTGCTAATCAGCTGTGGGAGTGAGTGTGAGTGTGCTAATCAGCTGTGGGAGTGAGTGTGAGTGTGCTAATCAGCTGTGGGAGTGAGTGTGAGTGTGCTAATCAGCTGTGGGAGTGAGTGTGAGTGTGCTAATCAGCTGTGGGAGTGAGTGTGAGTGTGCTAATCAGCTGTGGGAGTGAGTGTGTGCGAGTGTGCTAATTAGCTGTGGGAGTCTGTTTAGAGAGCATGTCTGGGAGGAACAGGAATGACTTTGAGGCTGAAAATTCAGACAACTTCTAAGAATAATTTTTATCTCTACAAGTTCATTTTTAAATTCTAAAGATTTTCTTAGATTAGTTCAGTGCTTTCCTGAGAATTTTTTTCTGTGTCATAGAATGCTTATTTTGGTACATACACAATGCAAATGTTATTAAAAATACAAACTCACTTCTGAGACAATGATGCATTATTGAATTGATATTTACACCACTATAGGTAAGATGCAACGCCTTAAAAAGCAGTTCTATGGGCCCTGGCCAGTGTGGCTCAGCTGGTTGGGGCCTTGTCCCCAGGCACCGGAAGGCCGTGGGTTTGATTCCGGGTCAGGGCACATACCTGGGTCTTGGGTTCAGCCCCAGGTTGGGGCACGTATGAAAGGCAACTGACTGATGTTTCTCTCTCACATCTGTCTCTCTCTCTCCCTTCCTCTCTCTAAAATCAATAAACATATTCTTGGGTGAGGATTTAAAAAAGAAAAAAAAAGCAGTTACAGCAAATGCTTCAAGGACTAAAATTCTGTTGCTTTATAGTGAAGTTCGATGAGCTCCAATTTATCATTTTTCCATTATTTTATTTATTCATCCTTCAAGATCTGAAATTAAAATAGAAGTTCTGGGCCTCAGTTAACAGAAATGCTTTTTCAGTAGCCTGGTTGGGATGCATAACTGTAGTGGAGGGAGGGTTGCTTCTATCAATACTCAAAAGCACCTTCGTTTATTTTGTTAAATATAGTAACATATGTAAATACCATCACTGCATACATAATATATTGCAACAATATGTGGTTAGAAGGGTCTCTATTTAAAAAAATTCCTGGTGATATTCTAGTTTGTAAGCATCCACATGTAAAAACAATTCCACGTCACCCACCCCTTGCCCAGGTCCTGTATAAATTAGTACCTGAAGGTGCAGTGTTTAACCACATGGAGCCCAGGGGCCTGGACACTGCCCTGCGCTCTCTCATTCCCCCTGAGAATCCAGGCCAGAGGGTCTCCCTGACACCAAGGGCATCAGTGGGGGTGATTAAGTAGTTCGGAGTAAATGCACACTCAGTGGGTTTACAGAAGCCGGTAGCTTGGGGAGGAGTTCTGGAAGGATTATGCATTTCTCTGAGGTTTCTGAGTGATTTCAATGGGGTTCTCAAGAACAAAACTAAACTAAACGAAATGAACTAAACTAAACTAAACTAAAGCCACAAAATGAAACAAACCAAACACCCAGGACATTACAATGACAGCAGTGATAACTAGCCATGTTTCTTTATATTTCAAAATGAACACAAATTAACTGCATTCCGCAGCATCTGAGTGTCCCTTCTGAAACCCGAGGCAGGATCTGCTTCAAGAGTCTCTACTTCACAAAGTAAGGGGCCCAGCCTTGGAACCTGAAGCTCCACTGTTATCTCTAGAAACAATCACACAATCAAGAGGAGCCAGGCTGCTGGTAGGAACCAATGCCCTCTGTCTTTCAGGCAAGAGATGTGGTTTTCTAACCTGGTGAAAGACGATGGAGCAGTTAACACAACAGGTGAGGTAGGTATTGATCAAGATTACATTTTAGAAAGGTTAAATTCCTTACTTTCAAAGTAAAAGAAACTCATGTAGAGCAAGGAGGGAGAGAGGGGAGATTCTAAAACATTGCTGAATTTGAAATTAGGCTCAAACTCAAAGTTAAAGTCAAATTTGTCTTAAAATCTTAGAGAAGAGAGAAAGTGGATTATTTGGGGTATGAAAATGACTAAGGTTGAATAAAATATATTGAAAATATTTGCCAACTCCTCTGACCCCCTTTGCCTTATCAGAACCTTGGGGGAGTCATTCAAACAATATTTTAGACACCAACTTTTCAATTTAGTAAATGAGAGTTCAGCAGATAAAAAGACCTCAAACAGATACTCTTAAGGATGCTGCCAAATAATTCTCCACCTTCAAAGGTCATTAAGTATTAAAAGTACTGAAATGTGGAGCTGGAGCAGGAGAGTACCAGGCTCAGACAGCTCCAGTGTGGGGAGGCGACTGTGCAACGGGCCTACAGACTTTTCCACCTACACAAGTGGCCCCACCACAATTCTCGTGGAGGAGGGCGGCGGTGGGGCAGAGGGGTGGGCCCTATCAAAGTCCAGGGAGACAGAGGAAGTGGAATTTGGCAGAGCCCCACATTCTTTCATACACCTCAGCCCCCCACCCCCAGTTAACCTCTGTTCTGGAAATTCAAGGCAACCTATACGTTTAGTGTGGAATTCACCAAACCATGTATTAACCAGAAGTAATACTATTTGCCTGGCTCTCAGCGACTTCACATGGTGAAATTCAATTAAGACTTATACTGAACTGTAGAATTTCATGCCTGAAGTGTAAAAGTTCTGTAGAAACTGCAGTCTGCTCTAGGACAGAACATGTCTTTTACTTACAACCATAGCAACGAAGGTAACCTTATAGGTACTAGGCAAGCTAACACTTGAGAAACGAATCTCCTCAAAGAGCAAGGTAATGGGATCCTCCACGGGTTTCCATGACTGTCAAGGATAAACAAAGAGAGCAGAGAAGTCAGGCAGCTGATGTGGCTGAACGCACGAGGTCATATGAGACAGGCCCAGGCCCTGGAGCTGCTCCCTCATGGCTAATTTAACTGGATATGGATTCAATCACTGGGTCACTGGGTCAGGCTCCACATTGGACACCTTAGTTTTGTCCTTGGCTTGTTGGCTCGTTTGATCGAGACATCATGCTAATGAGGTGAACTCTAGGTTTCTACTTCCAAAGTAGGAGAACAGAATAAAAGAAAGTTTTAGGATTTGGGGGTGAATTTAGTTAAACTCTGACTCCTGTGATTTTACTGATGATGGCACTCCACAGGGACATGATCCTCAGGGCACTACCGAACCCCATAGCCGATGTTGACTCTGGACTCCCAGCTCAGTGCTCTTCCACTCTGCCATGCACTAGTTAACTTGCTATGACTCCTGTGCAAATATCTCACCAGGAATCTTCCAAAGACATGCTTTGGTAAAAACTAGAATCAGGTAGATTGGAAAAATGACTCCAAATGCCACTTCCACTGTTGGTGGGACAATACGCCATCATCAAACACACACACTCACAGAATGGGAAAGCTATTTCTGAACACTCATCATGCTTTTCCTGTATCCATGCTGTTCTCCATGGAAACTTATTCTGCGCTATAGTAATGGAAATTAATAAAGGACTTAGAACTACTTGACAAACTGTTGGGAGACCTGAATTTGCATCCAAGTCTGTTACTAATTACCTATCTATTTTAGGGTTAAGTCTACAACAAAATTAACTTGTAAGAACACCAACAAATAAATGTAAAAGAAATGAAAGAAACAGAAAATTACCACTTGCAACAATTACAGTACTAATTGATTCAGAGAAAGACTTTAATAGATAAAAACTATTGGGTCAAAGTTAGATGAGAAACAGGAGAGGATATTTACATAATCTCAAGGGAACTTGCTGTAGGGGAAAATAAATTAAGAAGGGGAAAATGGTAACTCTTTATGGTGAATTAAAAGCTGACAGATACTGCCTAACCAAGGAATAAAATATCATCAATAGTTGGATAGACCAGCATCATGCGTCTTCTGATGGTCTGCACAGA